ACACTTATAACTTCTTATTCACACCTATGACAAGTCAAATTTCATCTCCACATTCATTTATTAACTCTTTTTCAGAAATTCACTTTGAAACTCATTTTCTTTAATCTTTCGTAACTCCTTTATGTTTTGATTTTTAAGATAACTTAAGCTTCCTCAAGCTTAGTTATTATCTAATGATCAAAACCCAACCTTTAATTCCACAAATAATCAAGAATTCATAAAACTCACCTTTTCTCTTTTCCTTGCTCTCAATTTTTGCACATCATTAGACAAACACCTTCCCCAAAAGCAGCACCGATGACAAAATAAAATGCCGCGACAAAACGAATTCCACCACATGCAACTATATGTTCCTAAATGCATCTACATGGTCCTAAATGAGGTCTTAGACATTCAATAACTTAAGTGAAAAGGTCCCAAAATACGACCCTTTTACGGAGTTATCACTGATGATTTACACATTGAAAATGATACGATTATGAAAATTGGTAAGGACTAGATTGTGAATGATGACATTAATGTGAAGATCATAAATGAATATTGATAAGTACTCTACCCTTACTAATAATGATACAAGTGTATGCTTATTCTTCTTTACTTATATTGTCTTACATAAGTATGTTACCGTTTGTATGCTAGTAGATCATGGTTCGCGTTGAAGAACACCACCATTGAGGGGATTCCAGCATCATCATACTAAACAACAATATTGGATTACTTCAGAAAGTATATGCGTTCATGTTCATAGGACCTTTATTTTTTTGGTATGTAATTATACGATTATTTTTTATTTACATTTTGATTTACACTCTATATACTACGAAGCTCAGATTTTTGTATAAACCTTTTACAACTGTTAAGAATTTGATTATTTTATAATCAAATTTCAAGTATATGAATAAAAACATGAAAGAGGTTTAAATTGATTGGTCGCTTTAGTGGCTTTAGTGGACCAATGTAACATCTTAAGTCTATCTATATATAATGGGTCAAGTTTGGGGTGTTACAAATCTGACTAAATCAAAATTTTAATATACTAGAGGATGATCATTAAGAAGGAGAGGCAAAGACATTCACTCGTATACATATTTTGAAGATCATCGAGAAGATTCTATTGTCCGATAAATCTCGCAACCAAATGTATTTAATATAGTTACGACACTTATAAATTTTAGAGAATTCAGTATATACGGTTGGAGATCAAACCTCTTAGCACTCATTTAAAGAAAAATGTGTAAATAAACCCATTTGAGCAAGTAAACACTATTGGTTGTTGCCTAATGCTTTTACAATTATGGGCATGAACTGCCTTTTCTTTGTCTACACATTGAGGTCTGAATCTCATTCTTGTTGGAAATATAAACTACAAAATCACATTGTTAGTACTGACATGATAAATTAAAAATATAATTTGTAAATTAGTAACTGAAATCGTGTCATGGTGAAAACTATTTTTTTAGAAAAAGATTCGCCCCGATGTGTGCAATCACTGCGATAAACGAATTATTCTCGAGGTTAACACAGTCGCTCCAAGAATTCATACACCTGAAACTGGAATGGACTATCGGTGGTATTGCTCTTCTGATAGCAGCAGAGAAAAAAAACTCGAAATGCTTTTAGATTGAGAGGATATGTGAGAAAAATGAGGGTGTGTTGAGAAGTTTAGGAAGTTTCTCTATTTATAGACTGAAGTAAGGGACCAAAAATGTCCAAGCATAAATAAAAAATAAATCTGATTTAATAATTGAAATTTATCAGAGGTAAAAACGTTCAATGTCAAATAATTGAAATTTATCTTTAAATATATATTATCTTATACTAACTCTAAATTAATAAAAAAAATCTGTCATAGTTAATATTACCTCAAACATCCGGTAAATAAGTTTAAAACTTGTGATGAAAATAGTACCTCTACCATTGATAAAGAAGAAGATTAATTACTTAACTTATTGCACCAACGGTTACAACTTTATTGAAACGGAATAAAGAATATATGCCAAAGCATACATTAAAATCTCATAAATTATAAGACCAACCCTCCTACCGACGTTGTCATAAATATTTATTTCCTTCATTTTTATAACCACTCTTAGCTAATAAACTCATCAACCAATTAAGATTGGGTGTCAAGCCTATACAATTAACTTGATTTAGGTGCCAATTCATGACTAAGATGACACTAAACTATGTAAATTCATTTGGTAGCTCATAAAATGCCCATGCTCAATTATATGATAATGCACTTGCATATTATATAAGATTAGCTTTTTTATTTTCTTAATAGTCCGGAGTGATTACGTGGTAATATTTATTCAGAATTTTTTTAATCTATTGATAATGCACACAAATTCTACAGATACAACTGCTTTAACTCAGGACCTCTATAGAGAATAACATTTTGTTTTATCACTAATGTCGTTTGATGGATTTATTTTTCCATTTTCTTGCAAAAAGGGTTTTTTGTGTTTAAATAATTAAATAAAAGTCCAAATAGAATTTAATAGAGAAAAAAAAACAAAAGAAATGGTGCTTTAGTTTATTTTGGTGAAGTCATTTAGGAGATTAGGTTATAGAAATAATGAAAGCAAGCTAAAATATTAAAGATTTTAATAGGTTGGAATTGTGGGTATGTTTGGCTTAGATTTCGGTGTGAAGAAAGCAACTATGTAGTGGGTGAACTGTTGGAAAGAGGTAGAGATCAATCTGAATTTTTTTTACTAAATTACAGTGATTATAAAATAATATATATTTTATTAAATATTTAATCATTCGATAATGAATGTCTAATTACTTTGCTGTAGTTATTGATGCTCAAATTTGTGAACTCTAAAAATAAAAATTCTTTTAACCGCTAAGTAAATTGTTTCGTGTCAGAATATAAATAATATAATTGCAATTTAGGGATCAAAGGGTTGGATAAGAAGGAAAATCAATTAAAACTAAGGATTGCAGTGAATGCTTTAAGTGTATGTTTAAAGTTATTGTATATAATAATATTTTCATTAAATATACATGAAAATTATTAATTGTTTATATAATAATATATTAGTTAATGTTTAAATTTGAGAGTTTATATTTTCGAATGATTATTATTTAAATATGTATTGTAAATTTGAATACTTAAATTTGATTTTAATTTGTAAAACAGAGAATATATTTGTTTTTAAGAGATTTCTATGGGGCTCAGATTTATGTGAATTTGGATATTTAATACATAACTCAGAATATTAAATTTAATTTTTTTACAAAATTTAAATATATGTCAGATAATAATAATTAATTTAGATTCCAATGTTAATATTGAAATACCTTATTGATAAACATAATTTGAATATATAGACAGAGGTTTTAATTCATATAATTTAAAATTATAAATATTTGGTTTATTGTCATTTCTAGTTATCAAAATACAATTAATCTAGTGATATGAGGTTTTATATTTCTCAAATTACGTTTAGGTCTGAATCATGGTCTTGTGAATGATACGAATAGAATTAGAAGAGTTGTTCTCATAATTAAGTCTATGTAGTACATGATTCAAATCAATCAATCAATAGATCAAATACTGACAATTATAAAATTTTTAAAGATTAATTTATATTATAATTTTTAATAAATAAAAATTAATTGTAATTTTTGTATTTACTACCATATTATTAAAAGAACACATTAACAAGATATTCTGACTTTTCATCCCTCAATTTTAAAAGAAACATATTAACAGTATTTAAAAAATACTTTTAAAGTTTATCATTATTTATTTGTTAATATTAACATACGATTCTGACCTTTCATAATCATTTTACTCAAACGTTTGAATTAATTTACTTTATTTTAAAATTTAATTTTATTAATAATTGTATATAACGCTAACTAAATATCAATATACCATAATTTAAATTTTTACATTAAAAACATTGTTTTATGAATTTAAGAGAAAAATGGTTAATTTATTATAGTAATAGATTTTCATGCCCGAATCAATTAGTATAAAAATCCAATATTTTTACGAGTGTGGTGAGCTTATTTCATGCCCCAATCCCATGCGAAAGCTTATTATAATTAATATAAAAGTCCAATATTATTACGAGTGTGGTTAATCTGTCATTCTAATTTCAAACCTTAGTTTATTAGTATTTCACATTAAGGGGTTTCCTTTAATTAAATAATTTTATTTGTCCACACGATGGCAACCTCAATTTGCTGTAATTATCGATGATTAGCGTAATTTGTCTGGTTTTGTATGATGATCTCTACCATGAAATGCTCCAAAATTTTCATTTCCTGCTAAAAACTCACCATATATGGACATACACACTATTTATCAGTCCATGTAATCTTTAAATTGATGATTGAGATATTTTAATTTATACTTTTCTTCATTATTAAGATTAAGGAATAGAATTAAAGAAATCAATTTTCTAAACCATATAATGGATATATAAATATAAACTTTCAACGTACAAACCCGTATTTATTTTTGGGTAAACTACGTAATTAGTCACCCAACATCACTTTAGTTTTATTTTGATCATCTAATTTTTTTTCTTCCAAATTATACATAACATTGTGTTTTGGTTTTGCTTTAGCTTTACACACTCGTTAAAAAATAAACTGCTTATATAATTTTTTTTAGTGATGACATGATATTACCTTGTAGTGACGCATCAATATCACCGTTAATATTTTACCGACAAATGACCAAAATAGAATAAAATGATAGTTAGATAACTAAATAAATGGTTTATGCTTTATTTTTCTTTAATTTTTTATGGAATTATTTAACCGTGCTTTAGTTAAATATTATAATAAATGAAGAAAGGAAAAAAAAACAAAATTAGAATAAGGGTAAAACCTATAATAAATGGAGGTAGTGAGGTGTGAAAGTTTCGATAACAAACACGAGAGTTGTCTAATCCCACCCCGAAGAAGAAGAAAGTAAAATAAAAGTGTATTGGACTCATTCTTTCTTCCCCACATACCCATTTCTCTCTCTGTTTCCTATCTATATATCATCTAAAACAACGCCAATAAGATGGAATAATGAAGAAGAAGAAGAGTGATTTTTCACTAGGCATCGGCTTCTTGTTCATGACCTTTGTCTTTCCTTATTGATTTTCTTCAAACTTTATTGCTTTTTCCTTTGTACTTCTATCTTTAATGGCCGTTCAAGCTCAATACCCTTCCAATGTCATCTTCCACAACAGGTTCATCTTTATTTCTCTTTCTCTTCCTCTTTAATCATTTTTTTATGTTTGTTTGATTATATTTTTTGTTGTTATTTTTCAGAGGTGGACAAGAGGGGAATGAATTTTCATTGCAGCAGCAAGCAGGAGGAGCTTTTCTGGATCAATCTCATATGTTCTTCAACAATGGAAGCAACAACAACAGCAATAGTAATATCAATCCGAGGAAAAGAGGAAGGGAAGTTACAGCGGCGGCGGCAATAACAACAACGCCGATCAATTCGTTTTCTTTACAAATGCAAGCGCCGCAGATGATAGAGGTTTCCCAGCTCCACCAACTGAATCCCCTCTCCACCGGCCTCCGATTATCTTTCAGCGACCAACAGCAGAGTCAGAGTCCAAATTTTAAACAACAGCAACAACAAAATCTTGTTTCCAGCTCCTCTGCTTTTTTGTCCATGGCATCCGATGATTTGGGTACTCAAATCAAACGCCAGAGAGAAGAATTGGACCAATTTCTTCAAGCCCAGGTACCCCTTTTCTCTTTCTTCCAAATGGGTCCTCGTTAATTTTTTTGTTTGGGGAAATGTAATTTATTTTGGAATGTTATTTGTTATTTCATTATAGGCAAAAGAATTACGCCGTACGTTGTCGGAGAAAAGGAATAGGCACTTCCATTCTCTGCTGGTGGCGGCGGAGGAATCGGTAGCTAAGAGGTTAAGAGAGAAAGAGGAGAAGGTGGAGAAAGTAACGCGTCGGAATGCCGAGCTGGAAGCACGCGCAGCGCAATTAAGCGTAAAGGCGCAGGTTTGGCAAGCAAAAGCCAGGGCACAGGAGGCGACAGCGGCTTCGTTACAAGCGCAGCTCCAGCAAGCTATGGTAGGCGGTGGGGCTGCTGTGACACAGGACAGCATGAGAGCGGAAGATGGGCTAAATGGCGCCGGAGGAGTGCAAGGGCAGGCGGAGGACGCCGAGTCGGCTTACGTGGACCCCGAACGGCTGGCAGCTTCGGGACCGTCTTGCAAGGCGTGTTGGGCACTCGCCGCCTCGGTAGTGTTGCTGCCTTGTCGGCATCTTTGCCTTTGTACAGAGTGTGATCGAGTGGCGCAAGCTTGCCCTGTTTGCCTCGCCGTTCGGAATTCTAGCGTTGAGGTTTTTTCCCTTAAAAAAAAACCTTAATAATAAATTTTTACATTTCTCTCTACTTATTTTTTTTAAATTTAGTTTCTTTTTGGGGGGGGGTCTGCTATTATTGGTATTTTACAGAAGAACTAGAAATTTTTTACTTTCTTTTACTTGATTCCCAATGAAAATGGGCCACTTGGGTCATGGCGTTGCCTTTCTCCTGTCCTTTCTATTTATTTTTGGAATTTTAAATTATAATATATCATTTATTTGATTATGGTCTTAATATTTGCGACTTATTGTTGTTAAAAACGATAAAACTTTTGATTTACTTAATTGTTTTGGCATGCTAAATGGAAAAACAATGCAATTGCTTTGCTACAAAAGCTCTCTCAATGAGTTGAAACAAAAAAAATGCAAAATTTATAATGTCTCGATTATTGTTTTTTAGTGCTTGTAATTTATTTTCCTTGAAAAACGCGATGATCTACTTAACTCCAATTGTTATTGCAAACTCTTCCATTTCATTGTTTTTTTTAAGGTTGGTTTTTAGGAGTCGTGCACCAAGCATTTGACACATTCAGAGAACGGAGTGATATGGGGGCTAATTTAAAATTTAGGGTAAATTATATTATTTATCACTCAATTATCTTTTAATTCTTATTTTAGTCGACGGAGCTATGGGATGAAGTGGGATGGGATCTTGCCCCTTCTATTTTTTTTGTTTAATAGTATTTTAGGTACTTATCGGTTTAAATTTAAGAAAGTTGAGCTTTTGTCATCCAATATTTTAGATTAAATACATAATTAAGTTCTTATTATTTTGAAATTAAATACCTTATCACTCCCAATATTTAATACTGATTTCGTCCCTGATTTTAGTTATTAAATTTTAAAAAAATTCAATTTTAATAATTATAATTTTAAATTACTCTTTTTTCAATCACTTTATGATGGCATTAATTGTTTTTCGTATTAGTACATTAAGGAATTTTTTTGCTATTCAACATTTTACAATCTTAGTGTAGCTTCTCCTCTGGCATCTAAAATTTAGCAGTTGTTCTTTCTTCTTATTGTATAGCTTAAAAGGTAGATCGAGAAACAATGTCGTCCAATAATAATTAGGGTAAACTATTTAATTTTTTTAAATCATACATAAAATTACGTTTTAGTTTTATTTTAGTCACACACTATTAAAATAATTAGCATAATTATATACTTGATATTTTTTTATTTTTTCAATGATAGTATGACATTACCTTATGATAATCAAAATGAAAACATGTGAATAGTTGAATACTAAATACATAGTTTACCCTAATAATTAAAACCCAAACGAGCATATTTGGATGAAATCTAAAAGCACAATCATATGACCCAAGTTGTAGCAGTCGAGGGGTGTTGCAGAGATGCAAAATGTGTCCATTATAGACACCACCTACCACTATATTGGGTTTTTAATTATTGCCTTTTGGAGGCGAATCCCTTGAACACATGCTACCCTATTTCGAAAATGATCAAAGCATAGTTATATGCAACTTCACCGTCGGTGTTGGACTCGACTCACTGGTTCATGATGCTTGATCTAATTGACTGACTGGTGTTCAACAAAATGATTTGTACTCGGCATTTCCTCCCTACAATACAATGCACCCAAATCAGACGTCTCCCGATGTGACTCGACTCCATCCAGCGGTCCCATTTTGCAAACCAACTTTTAAATTTTTCTAGGGTAAATTATGCATTTAGTACATACACTATCAGTTTTGATATGTTTTAGTGCTAAAACTTTCAATTTTTTTAAAATCATACATGAAGTTTAGTTTTTATTTCATTTTAATACTGTCGTTAAAAACTTTATTTTTTGTTTTATTTTAGTACCCCATGCAAAATTTAACATTAGGTTTAAAAAAAATGAAAGTTTAGGTTCTAAAATGGACCAAAACTTATTGTTTATGTACTAAATGCGTTAAGTTTTTAATGATGGGTACTAAAATGAAATAAAATTAAACATTAAGTATAGTTTTAAAAAAATTTAGGTATTAAAACAAACTAAAATTATTAATTTAGGTATTAAATTCGTAGTTTACCCTTTCTATTTTGGTGCTTCAAGTGAAGTCATTGCATATGCCACTAATGGGTTTGGTCCCATGGCAACTACAAATGAAGATGCTGAAAATTTGATATTGGTCCCATAAACGTCCGTAAGCGCGTGTGTGTGTATATATATATATAGTAATTTAATTTATTTTAATTTTATATAGATTTAGGATAAATAGATAAATAAAAATAAAAGATTAACTTTTATTTTCGAGTGAATATCTTCTAATTTATTACTATTAATATTAGACATCTATTTTCACTAATCTAACGATCTTAAATCTATGTAAAACTAAAGAGTTTTACATTGTGTAATTGAATTATATTCTGATATATATATATATTAAGATTTACTTGCATCTAGTAAAAACTTTTAATTTTACGCTTTAGGATCGGACATTATCTATGGGATTATCCATTTTTTATGTAAATATCTTTTTATCTTTTAAAATTAATCTCAATCGTCTATTTTCACTTAATTCTAAAAAAATATAAAGTTAAAAAAAATTACAACGGACCCTAGCTCTGTTAGTTTGATTGTTATAAAATATAATGTAAATTCCTGATTGTTATGCTGATGAAATAAGAATGTAATACTAATAAGATTTGAGAAAATCACATATAACAACTAAGAGATAGGTCTAGTAGCCTACATAATGCTAACAGCACATCATCGATATTCCCATTTGATTGGGTCAGTTGTTGAGACAAAACCCCATGGATTGTATGCATCTCTTTTCTGAATGTTCACAATGCACAACTCAATTATTCAGTATATATTCTCCATAAAAGTCCACAGTTAACATTGGGTGAGTTTCAATCTCCTTAGAAAAGTGGGTTGGAGATGAAATGGATATAGGCAGGGCGGGTGGTGGCGGTCACCCGTAAAAATATAAAATCATATTTTAGATTTTTTTCTATATATTTTTTATTAGAAATCTATTTTCGTCCCCAAAAAATTTATAAATTCAAATTCGCCGCTAACTTAAAATCCTGTCAGGATTGATTTGTTACATCATTTTGTTTACACACATAGTTAGTCTACATCTGGGAATAAAATTCTAAACTCGTAAATGGAGGAATCTCTCTTTTGCCTTTGAAATTATAGGAGGGGTTTTTTGATAAACTTGTAGTGCAAGCAAACTCTTGCCTTTATATCAACTGCTATATCACCGTCTACAATTTTACAATGCAATGAATCTTGGAATTCAGATAAAAAAATGTTTCCTTGAGATCCAAGAGACTGATATGAGCTAGAGAGGCATTAAAATTAGCATCAAATTACAAAGTTATCCTTCCAAGCCTGTAGCTTTCAAGTTTCAATGTACATATGCATTGAATGCAATTTTAAAAGAGAGAGAGAGAGAGGTATAGAGATACTCTCATTTTAAAAGTACATTGCGATTTATATATCTTCACTTAGTGTGTTGGTGATTATTTATAAGTCCACATGATAAGCAAATCTAATCGACATATAATAAATTTAATCACTGATAAAATTAACAACAGTTAAATCAAAGACTAATATTCTGTAGACTATGAAACTCCGAGGTCTCAATAATCGGAGGATTAAAAGCGAAAGTGCAATTAGCGAAGAAGATCGGGAGAAGATACAACTCTATATAGGAAGTAAACCCAAGACTTTATGCTTTGAATATAATAAGCTGTGGGTGGTGTAGATTGGATCAAGGGCATATATAAAATTGGTAGTAATAGTTTTATGCGATTTTAACAGTAAGCTTGCATGTCGTGATCACATCACATGGCATGCATGCCCATCACATTACATTGTCCAATTCACACGGTTGATTCACGGCTCCTTCACATTGTCAAATTCAAAAGTCGGAAGATGTCTTAAGGAAAAGGGTTAAACGTATATTTCCATCATTAGACTTCATGTTATCCAGGGATTTCTAGTGACCCAATAAATAGATTCTTGAAGATGAGACAACGACGAGAATATGATAGTACATAAAATTCATAATAGTGCCCCATGTTGTCGTGAGTTGTTCACTCCCCATGCCTTTGAAAAAATAAGTATGCAGACAATGCATATGAACCGACATATGGTGGCATAAAAGACTTGATAGATATACATGTTATATCTTTGAAAATTAACTTCAAAAACTATCAGCTCTTCGTCGGTCTAAAGTTATAGATAATATTCTTTTACCCACCGAAGTTGTTAATAGATTTTTGATCTCTAAAACAAGAGTGTTATTCACCTTTAGAAAGGTTATATCACATAGACAATACCTCTAGACATGACTTATAACAGACCCATATAATCTATAGAACAAAATTCAAAGTCTAACTAGTGGATCTATCTATCTGTCGATCTACAGTTAGTCATAATTATCTTATGTCTGACACCACCTAGACTAGGTTCACTATGAAAACTCTTAACACGATCGAGAAAAGGATTGAATCTTCTACAATCTAGACAACTATCTCCTTCATGATTATCTTTCTCCCACAAAAAAAACACAATCAACAATTGTCCCTTTATCGGCCATAACTCTCTATCCAAATTAAACAGTGAACCATGAACGATCGAAAAGATCAATTTATTCTCATCTACAACACAGTGTGAACTTCATTGAGTTTCACATGAGATCGTGAGAGCAAAAGAAAAGAGGGGGAAATGCAGTCCATTAAAAAGCAATCAAATTTTGGAAGTGGAAGACAGACAAGGTTGTATATTCTTCTTCAGTGTTGTTATTTCCCATCAAATGTCAGTGACACCATTTGTCTGAAAGTACTTTTCATAAAAAAAAGCTTAATTAACAACAACATGTTAGGTAATTTGACTGTTGTTTCTGCTTGTAAATGTGTGTTGAAAACGAGTACAAGCTGTCTTTAGCAATTAAATTGAATGATATATGAAGCCAGGTAGCCTTGGAGATAATGGCGTGATAAAGCACATTGTATGGAAAAGGAGGACGGGGGGCCTTGATACGATGCATGTG